GATGATGGAACGCTTCCACTTGGTCCCGGCGCTCTTCCTCTACTGCGGCGATGCCGTGGAATTGGTTGGTGCATCGTGTTATTGGCTCCTTGCCCAACAAAGGTGCTGCTGTAATGACCAAGAGAAGTGCCGTGCCGTATTTCAAGCGGCTCTAAGTCGTAATCTCTTCCATTAGAGAACTGCAGAGAAAACTGTGTTTCAGCTAATTTTTAAATCAAGTGTGTTAACCAACACATTCGAAAGTAAGACACTGTGAAGAGCTAAACGAGTTGTTAGTTTCGATGAAACTGGGCCGAGAATGATTCTCACATCAATAAAACCCGAAGCATTTTCTTGTTATGAGAAGGATTTCGCTTCGTGTATACCCTTTGGTGCTAGTTCCTTTTTATTAGACACCTTATGGACGGATTTCTGAGGGAAACCATTTGGGGCACAGCAACAACAACAACAAACAGACGAAGAGCAATATGTTTTCAATGTACGTGGAAGGCCAATATGGTATTTTTCTTTGAATTGAAGGTGGTAGATTGACCAAAGCAGTGAAATTTTTCACGACCTTTCTTTAAGCCTCACATGATATCCCTTTCGTACCACACTTTTCTTATTCGATTTATAACTTTGCATTCCTCATTGCCGAATGTTTTCGAAATTACGCGTTAGTTCGTCCACTAGTTGAGAGTTCGAGTGGTTTTCATTAATGCCGTTGGATTCTGGCCTAGTGGATTCTTCCTGAAATCCGGCGATAGTTGTGCTAAGGCGTTTCGAAGTCATCACTACAGCAATTAGACAGGCTTTGTGAGTCGCAGGGTTTGACAGGTCATTCAATGCAATCAGCCTTTTGTTGAATTTTGAATAGTTTGCAAAGAAACTTCCTAATACTTTAGGTGCCTTAGGAATTTCAACATTTTTGTCGATGCATTTATGAATAGAAATGGTGCATTTTTCACTGTAATGAAGCATATGCGACGATTAGACAAGTGAAGGAATTCGCAAAATATACATTTGCTGTCTTCTGATTGGGTTAGGTTACTCACTGACAAAAAGCTAAAGCTCTCAGTATTAATCAACCCTGAGGGATGCTCCCATGCACTGGACTTCATTATGCATCGTTTCAGGTGATTGATGGCATATCTGGCCTTTACAATGACCCGCGGTCGCTTATCGATATATCGAGCCAGTGCTGTTATCCTCCCAGACAAGTCTGGTACCAATTTGCCGATACCGGAGGGATAGAAGGCTTGGTGGGCAGGCTGGATCCAAAGAATCTCGTGTCCATTGCAGCGTCCCCTTAACACTGCACTGCATGAGCCCCAAGAACTGTTTATGTTAGAAAAAACCATTATTATACTCAATTATTCATGATATCTAAAATTTATGGGTCTTACTTTATGAAACAATATCAATCCGTCTTGTGAAGAAATTTCACTTTGTTTTGCATTCGTTGCGCACCCATTAGCGATGCTCTGTAGTGCAGAGACGATCGTTTCTTCGATTCTCTCCCCAGTGCAATCAGATAAGTCTTTCTCTTCTATTTGGAGCAGGCAACTTGATTCCATTATTGTCTGAAGAAAAAAAAAACACCGACCTAACACTTCCACGTCCGACTTTCTATTAACCACGGCACTGATTGAACAATTCCTTCTACTCCTGTTCAGCAAAAACGTGTTATTTTGTTTCTTTATTTACGTACAAGCCGACGTTTCGGCGGATTTCGCCTTCCTCAGAGCTTGGAAAGGTCAAGTTGTCTACAATCTACAAGGCCAAACACTTCCATAACCAAACAGAGAAAATGCTGAACCAAAATTTCAATAATATTGAACACAGAGTCTTTGCACACACCGCGTTCTATGAGTCTTCTACTAAATATGTCACGTGGAGACCAACCGCGCAGAGTTCACATGGAATCCCAATGTGCCCATCTCATCAGGATAACAGGCTTATATACTGCCCAATATCACGCGTGATAATGAGGCATTCCTCCCTACCGTTCATTTTCGGATTCTTGGAATTAATCAAGAATGCCTCGAGAGTTTTGCGCGCTTGTGTTCTCGATTCTAGGGCGAGGATGGTAACTTCTACTCCAAAATCTTATTCGTGATGTCTCTGCGTCCTATGCGTGTCTAGTAGAGCATTTGGTTTACGTTTCCCGACTAGGTGTTCCTTTATACGTACGCAGAGTGGTCTACCCGTTTCGCCAATGTATTCGCCCCCGCAAGCTTTACAAGAGATCAGATAGACTGTACCCGAACTCATGTAGTCACAGTCTCTACCATTGGGGCAAATTATTCAATTTTCCGTTGCACATAGACGGTCGTATAGGCGGTTACGAACTAGCTGGCGCCTTAGATTACTCGATGGCATTTCAATTATCGTTATCGATTTCTCTAGACCGGCCCTTCTTAAGCAGGATTTTATAGCAGCACTTACATCATTTGAGATGAAGGCTAGAATAAACGAGACCTTTTCATCGCTAGAGTTGTCGTTTGGAGGCCTAGGATTTTCCCTACACCTATCCCGAGCTATAGTTTCGTAGCCATTAGAAATGGCTATTCGCCGCGTCAAGTTCCGGGACTCCTCTCTCTGCTGTCTTCCTGTGCACACGTTGGTAGCTGTCCGAAACATGTTTCTCACAAGCGCCCTTTTCCTCTGAGAGGGGTGAGAGTAGAGGTAATAGACCAGGATGTTTCTACTACTTGGCTTTCGATACCACTTCGTAATGTAGCCGTTTTCTGGTAGGTTAATTTGCACGTTCAGAAATGGAAGCCAGTTTTTTTTTGGTTTTTCTTAGGTGAATTTAATATACTCTGACTGTTCGTTCAACAACTCGAAACATCTGTCAATTTCTTCTTGTGTTGAACCAATGACCAAACAATCATCTATATATCTACAATAGAGTAACGGACCGAGGTCGATTACTGGCGCTTCCACCTTAGACATGAATGCAATGGCAAGGCTTGGTGCCAGTCGTTGTCCCATTGCCAGCCCTCTCATTTGTGCGTAATACCTCCCGGACCATCTGAAGATTGAGCAGTTCAGGCACTCTTTTAAGAGTGTCATCAACTGCTGAATCGAGAAGCCGTACATGTTTATTGTTCCTTCGTGTTGTATAAGGAGCTCGCTTATGGCTTGCATAGCGGAGTCATTCGACACGTTCGTGTAGAGGGCAGTGACGTCAAAGGACTCCACCACGTACGCGCTGTTGGGTCGCGCGTTACGTAGACGATCCAGGAACATTTGGGTGTTCGTTAGGTGAGCTGCAATGTACTTCAGCAACTGAGCAAGTATTAAGGTTATCAACCAAGTTATTCTATCTGTTGGCCCGTTCACGCAGCTAATGATAGGTCTAATCTTAAATAACGATGAATCTGTAGATACGAGATCATCGCTGGATACTAACTTATGGGTTTTGATAAGTAAGTAGAGGCCGGGACATATTGGCAAGTTAATTTTGAGTTAAGAGATAACTGATGGTTAACTGACCTAATACGTTAGCAAGACATGGCAAGTCATTATGTAGGTCAGCTATCTTTTTATCCATTCCTATTATGGCTGGTGAAGTCGAATGCGTGGGTGTCTCCAAGTGAAGTGATCAACGCCGAACGCTTTGTGTTTTACCACTGCATGAATTCTGGCCGATGGATTAGTTTAGGTTTGTCCTCGGAGCAAAGGAAACTCTAATTTAAGTTGAGTTTCAGTCCAAATTACAGGCGCTTAGAAACTGGTTTAAATCTTCGCACTTTTTTATCATTGGAATTTTACTGTCTTCTAATTATATAGAGATGACGTTAATTGGTGCCATGCTATGCTTTCAGGCACATCAATGGTGGAGCTGACTATCAGAATAAGAAATCTTTCCACTTATGCTTTATTTCATGACTGACAGCACTACAGCATTAGAGAAGTTAGTTTTATTGTGATAACAAGGAGAAGCAGTTCACTTCACACAAAGTGAACCGTTGATATGACTGGTTTACAGATCAAACTAAAGCATGATCACTGAGATTCCTTTCCATTCCATTTTTTCAGCTCAGCAAGAGTTCGATAAGGAATGAAGAATTGCTGAAATATGAAGTATGATCAATTTTAGATGAATGGGCTTGACTCTAAGTTATCAATAAATATGCCGTGATTTTTACGTTCTTCCCTTATATCCTTTTTTATATTCTTCCTATCCTTTTTTCATCTCAGAGTACGATGTGAAATACATAATGCTGAAATGTGAGCAAATCCCGGATTTCTTAAACCGGAAAGCCTCATACCTCAGCATCCTTGTGGTTGCGCATCAGTAAAATATTTTACTTTTAGTTAGGATGATTGAATTGCAAATTCACCTTTTGTACATTCTTTTCGCTCCATTAGTACGCAATGGTGGACTAGTGTAGTGTAATAGTTGGAGTTGATTCGCAATACATACAGGGTTATTGACTCCTTAGCGAACCTACGGTAAATTAAGCCCTCCAGCCTCTGGGGTCAGGAATTCAAAATCAACTTCTGTTAGAATAAAAGCACTGCCTTGATAGACCGATGAAAAGTCCCTGCAACTTTATAGGCCAGATATCCCATCAACCACTGCTATGATGCTACGAATGGCATTGAATGCACAGCGCACCTATCAAGAAATGAAGAACGTCAAACACTGTATCCATTACGACCTATATAATAATAATACTCCTATAACGTCCCATTGTTTACAAAATATTCAATTAGTTACTTCGAATCAATGCGCTTCTTATTTGTTATGGTCAGTGGGTGAACTTAGCTGCCTCAAGAACGTAAGGAGTTTATAATCGAGAAAACACGGGGAACGGGACCCACATGCGAAACTGTTAGCTGTATCGTATTTATAATGAGAAACCCCCAAGTATGACTTGAAAATTTTCATCAGATAAACTAATCTTTAGTTTAAAATTCTTGACACTATAACAGATACGGTATTTTATTATGTAGAATATGGGAACTTCTTGAAATTAGAAAAAAATTAAGAAACTCAGGAATCTTCGTTATGCAAAGGATTGTACTAGTCCATTCACCCTCGAAAAAAGTCGTGCTCGCTTCCCAAGACCGATTCCGGCTAGTGTATCGAAACTGCTTAAAGATTTTCTCTCGTACGGATACGATGCATCTCTTTTTCCCAAGCCCATTCCTGGAATTCTATAAAATTTGATCGGCTGAAGTAAGTACAATATAGGAGAGCACAATGAAAAGTCACTTTTATTGAATCAGATTCCATGAATGATATAAATAAAAGATTAGCCCGCTGAGCTAATCCTATTTAAAATTCTCGGTAACAGTGTTTCCTTTCGTTTCCTTAGTTCTAATTTTTTGGAAACAGGTAGATCGGATTTAGGAAAGATCTTTTTCGAATCAGTGTTTAATTGACGTTTTCAGAATAACGTTTTTTTAATACTTTTTTTTAGTTTATAGGACCTGTCTTCACGTCTACTGTGGATCCCAGCACTTCTCATATTCGATTGGTTCCCTCGTATCCCTCATCCACGAAGACCTTCCAACTTTTACGTGTGGCTTCGGTTGCTGCTTGCGAGCAATTCTCCCTGGAGTCCTGAGATAGCAGGGCTGGAGCGTTCCCAATTGGATTGCAGAGAGTAATTTTCTTCCCCAAACAAGTTCGGTGGCACTTTCTCGACCTCGGAGGGATAAGAGGCTTGGTTGGCCCGGAGCGGATTCGAACTAGCACCATACTCGTGATGACAGAATAACATAAAGAATGAAGACTAAATTTTACCCAATAGAAAGAGGAAATTACTTCGTAAACGCATGTGAGAATGCTTTTTCTCACATTAAACGAATTTTAAAAGTGCAAATCGAAATTTACAAACCATTGAGATTGGTCTCTAAACAAACTCTTTGTCCTAAGTCAATAGTAGTATGATATGCATTTACAAAGAAAGACATAAGATAATTTTCTGAATCAATAGGTTAACAAGAGATTGGTGGAAAAGAAAAATTAAGATACCTGCTCAGAAAGTGTATTTGTTATATCAAGGGGGCGTATGGCGCAATGGTCGCAGGCGTCCTGTAACACACACGCAGAATCGATTCCCACGCCGATGGCCCACCAAGCCTTCCATCACTCCTGGATCGGCAAATTGTTACCAGACTTCTCTGGGAAGATAGCAACACTAGCTCGATACATGAGTAAAGGCTAGATATGCATTCAACCGCCTCCAAACAATGCTTAATGAAATCGAATGCACGGAGCATTCTCTAGAGGTTGGTCAAGGCCAAGAACTTTGTCCTTTACCCTTTTACTTGTTATATTGAAACGATCTAGAGTTTTAGAGTTTCATACAAGTAACTTCATTCCGTTGAAAACCATATGATGTGCTACGCAATTCGCATGACGGCGCGATGAGTAGAGTGAGCTGGTGTTTTTAGTCGGAGATTTGCAGATAAAAAAGCGAGTTGTGGAGAGTATAGATCGCCGGTAGTAATTGGCAACTACTTCTATACAATATTATGTTTCTATCTAGCTTTTAGATTTTCTGATCTCCCATGTGTGCGGAACTCAGCATTTCTCGCATTCCATTTATCCTTCGGATTTTCGAGTGAGGTCAGCTGCTACGTGGGATTTATCAAAAATCCATATGCTTTCTATTGCTATTTGAGATACATCTTTTATTTATGGATATTCTTGATTTCTAGTCGATCACCTTTTCTTTGAAATTCTAGGATAGCTTTGCTAGAGTCTTTCCAGGTCTTCATCACATCCAGTCTTCAACCCCGCAGAAATCGTACTGGCAGTACTACCACGATAATGAATAGGTGAAACCGCAATGGTTTAGGTGGTCTAACCAATCCACTATTTATAGCTGGGCTATCATCTAGCGGTTGCCGTCTATGTGGTCGTTTTTCACGTCAATCTTCTTCACCACCTGTTCTACAGAAAGTGTTTTCGACTGTCTTTTACATATCATGTGCGAGGAGCAGGAACCGCAGCCGCTAGAGCTACTGTGCTAGAATGCTCATTAGGTCGTTAATCCAACAGCGCTCTGTGCCATCCGGAACTACCATTTTCCCGGATCGGGAAATTGGTGAGAGACCTCTCTGCCAAAAACTTCCGATTTGCAAATAGTGATAACTGCTCGTGGTGTATCTGAAATCTTCTTGGACAGCTGTAACAGGGTTCCATCTCCATTAGCATTAGTCCACATTCATAGCAAAAAAACCAACGTCCTCAGATAGCAGCTGAGGCATAAGCAAATGCGAAGACCTTTGCGGATGACGGATAGGAGACGACAAACCTAATTAACGAATTACTTGGTTCTGTACCGTATATAATAGCCAGCCATGTAAAAAGAATCGTCATGTACTTGAGTATACGACTCATTATGAGCTTTCTGAGGCATTTCTAACAGTTCACTATCAACATAGAAGAATGCACAAATGTAAATGTAAAACGTTCTGGAGATAATGCATAGCTATTACCTTCTACCCATTACCTTTTCACAGCAGAGTATTATGTAAAGTACAACCACTATGATGGTGACTTTGTAAACTTGGACCCTAGGCCAGAAGAACCTTGATTACCCTTTTGAGGAGCTTACGCATTATGCACAACATCGCTGAGGCCCTAGTTCCAACTTTCTCTCACCCAATATTATTATCCTAACGGTGCCATCAGCAATCACCCGTCAACAGGAATGATCTGGAGAGCACAAAAAGAGTCAAACGCAGCTTTGGCGGAGAGAGAGGCAAAACAAGGGACTAAGTGGCGACGTGCATAAAACATGAGCACCATGAAAGGGTAATCGTGGTTCGTCTGGCATGGAGTCCAAGTTTTGCAATTATCTCAGCATCACTGTGGTCGTTATCCGGTTAAACTTTATCTTTAAATTCATGCACGGAATCTATGTTTTCTTATATCTCATGGATATTCTTCTCATTATTCTCTAGTAAGGCCTATCAGTATGTGTTTAGAATGAAATGGCCACATTTTCCAAAAAGTGAACCTAAATAGTGTGAGATCTGGCACATAAGCTGGTAACTTCTAAAAATGATAAAGACATTAATAAAGTTTTGTTGTTGCTATTTTTTGAAGTTGTTCGTTCTTTACGATCACCTCCGAGTGTATCGAAACTGCTCAGCGCCCTCCTCTCAACCATCGACACAGGCGAGCGTTTGCCCAGGCCGATGCCTCCCAATGTGTCAAACGAACTCAACGCTCGTTTTCCTAGTCCTAAAAGAACGTCTTCAGTCGGAACGTTGCGGTTTTTGAAAGCTTATACCGTTTGATAAAGAATAAAGAGATGGTAAAAACTGCCACACATTACAAGTTACATTAGTAGTAGTTACACTCTAAATTTGCTTGCTCTCCGCACATAATACCCAGAAAAGCGTGAAGTTCAAGAGCAAAAAAACCAAGAGAACTTGTCCAGATGAAAATCCAAAATAAAACTACATCTCTTCCTGGATAAGCATTTCTTGTATTCTAATGAACTGCAAAGTTCAAACAAGTCTAGCAGGAAAGTTGATTTAAACTTGCCCAATGTTCTCCTTCAACTTTTCCTCTACTTTTCTATTCATTGGATAGTTACCTAGACCGGCCAATGAGTCCACTGAATTCAGTCGTGAGCGCTTGCCTGGCCCGATTCCACCAAATGTGTCGAACGACGACACTCTCCGTTTTTCTTGCTCACCTATGTCGTAACTGTCCTGAAAATTGTTAATGTATATAATATATAAGCTGCTCATGTTGGACTATACTAATTGTGGACCAAGGGATATTGGTTGGCATTTCAATGTCAAGGGTCTGATTTCAAGCAGTAGTTCACTAGTGACAACTACAAACATTGAAATTATAGGCACATTCGATCCATTGATAGGAAATGAGGACATTTTTCTCAAAAAAGAGAAGCATAACAATTGATACTCAGTAAAGTAAAGGTCGCTGAGTTACAAGTTTAACATCACGGAAACGATTTCGTTCTACACTTACTTGTGTTACCTCAATTAAAAATGTGACATTAAAAAGTATCCCCTGTTTGAATTGATTTCTCAGGGTCACAACATATGAGGAAATCCTTGAAACGCGTTTTCTGGCATTCCCACTGAGAAAGCACTTACAACTCGTCCAAATCCGTCAACCATCAAGTGATTTGAACGAGAACTATAACGTCCTACTCATTCTTATCGTCCGCCAGGACGCTTTGGCGAAATTCGCTTATTGAATGGCTCTGAAGAGCACCACGCTTCACATAAAACCTTCTATTTCACAGTCTTTCGCTTGGCCCCGCGTGCGTCCTTGAGCTCTTCCGTGGAATTGGTCTATCATTATCGGTGTTTCAGGTGGAAATGTCAAATTTCCTCCCTTCTTCATAGGTGTTGAACGTCGTAGTTCAAGAAACAGCACTCCTTTCGTAAGACAACACGATTAGAAAGATATTAATAGAATTTTGTTTGAAAATTTACTCAGAAATGTTTTAAATTTGTAGTGGAACTCTAGTGTCTAGTGCAACTGAAATTCAATAGTGTCAGGCAAATGCTGGACCAAGCAATTTCGAGGTCTCGATATAAATTTGCGACCTCCGTCATTCCCTGAGATGAAGGTGAATTCACAAGTCGCAATCCAGTGAGTGCATCACGTTGCCTTTTGCATTCATTCATTGTCCATGCACATAATCGTATTCATATATTGGTACGTAGATGTGCCTGAATGGATTCGGAAACATCCCGCACGTGGTTTCCTTCAACGAAACTCCTCCTCTTGCTGAATAGATTACTGCTAAGCATGTGGAAGGCGGTTGGAGGTCGTTTTCAAAAAATTAAAGCCTCGCTTCCTCATAGTTGCTTAGCGCCTATGAGAAGTTAAATAAAGTAACCGCATACGGAAAGTGTAATGCACTTCAAGTTCATAGAGTCTATTGAGCAGTTGTGAGGCAAAACAAAGACAAATAGAGGCTTTATTGCTATTGGCTCAATTTCACTCGTTAACCGACTTACACTTGGTTCAGATCTCAGGCCTTGCCAGCATTTTTGAGGAACTTACCATGGACAAAGCCGCGTGTGCAAATATAAGCAGGGAGATCGCGACAGTGAACATGGAGTAATACCTAAACATGACTAGAATTCTTCTTGACGAAAATAAACAGCACGGATCCGATGACGTGTGTCATAAATCGTGCTCGCGATTAAAGAAAATTCAATAGAAATGGAATCCGAAAAAGTTCGGGATAAAAATTGTACACATAGCGTTTCATGTCTAAAAGTGAATGCCTGAGAAAGAAGGGAAAAATTAAGAATACTAGGAAGAAGTAGAAGAAGAAATAAGCTCAACGCTTTAACAACAGCGATAGAAAATAAGAACAATTACTTAAGTACTGAAAGGACAGAGATTTTACGTTCTAATTTTCACTATTTATCCAACGCTTGTCGTTTTTCTTTGGATTTTTGGATTTAGCGCTAAAAAATGGACACCTAGTTTCAAGAACCCAAGAATCAATTTAGGCTAAAGATCCTTTTTTGAATCCTATAGATAGCCTGCAGATCTCAAATGCAACTCCTAACCCCGCTGCAGGTTGTTTGAAAGCTGCCAAAAGTTTTTTGATTTACTAAAGTATTTTAGGCGATAACTCGATAGCTCTACGTGAGATGCTTTACCCTATTGCTGTAGTTAGGTAAAGGCTTTTCAGAAATATTGAAACGAATTAAATTTAAAAAATAAAATTTAATTAAATCAATTCAATTTTAATTTTAAGAACAACCTGAGAGACAGGCGAAACGAAGGACCCGCATGATGTGGCGGTGAACGCTTTTTCCTCCGGAAAGGACAATAGCGCGTTCGTTCCCCACAGCAGACACCTGCGGCCCGGAGTTTTGGAAATATCTCAGCATCATTGAAGTTATATTTCGCAATATATACCCTACCGTTAAAAAGAGTAGGCAGTAAATAATAGGTTAAAATTGTAAATTAATTGATTTGGTCAAATGGATTCGATGCTCAGTTGGAGTTCCGAGTTTTGCAAATATCATCATTCTGGCTGTATTTCGCATAATACCTTAACATGAAAAATTATAGACGGTAAATGGGCACTGCCAAACCTTTTGATTTTACGAACGTCTCTCCGATTTTAACCGTTTCCCAGCAAAAAACTGAAAGCAAAATTTGCATTTTTAGAGCACCTAATGCAAGCGTGGCAGCCGTAAGCACCAAAACACATTGAAATACATCATCCTACCCTATTGTACTAAATCCAAACTTTTCAGCACTTTCGATATTCGAAATAAAACTCTAGACGGTTATCTGTTATCTGTAAATAGGTTATCTGGGTTAATAATTCATCATGACGTGGTTGGTTTCTCATATCCCCGAGACTTTCATAATCCAAAATTTGAAACCAAAGTCATTCGAACCGTTGGCACCCAGATTAACTGCCTTAGAATTTGTGCGAACAAAGTTTCACAACAGAGTTCAGAAAAAAAACTATTTTATGGTTAACAACGAGTAATAGAGTTTTCTCTCTACGAAACAAACATGCGTTGAGTAGTTGACGATGTTCTAATGGACTATAGAAACGTTACGCTCAAGAAAGGTCTTGCCGAAAGAACGTCTATTGTGATTAGAGTTTTAGATTGTTGTCAAAACACTTTCTTTGAATAAAGCTCCAGTATCGGTTTTTAAAAAATTGTTGAAGAATTAACGTAGAGCGACTATAAGATTTTTTAAATTTGATCCCTCTTCACGTCTGCTGTGCGGATCCCAGCACTTCTCACAACCAATTCGCTTCCTCGCATATATCGTCCACGAAGGTCTTCCAAGCTTTTACGTGTGGTTTCGGTTGCTGCTTGAAGATTTTCATTTCATCTTGAATGTAGTAGAATGCTGGTCGAGCAATTCTCCCTGGAGTTATTTTAACGACCGACCCTCTTTTAACCTCGGCATTGACTGATAATTCGATGTTTTTCTTCAATAAGCAGACACCTTTCCAGGCTCTGAAGAAGACGAAACCGCCGAAACGTCATCTACTGTATCCTAATAAATCCTATAATAACAACCTCGTGTCTGCTTATTGAAGAAAAACATCTCCCTGGAGTCTTGGGATTGCCGGGCTGAAGCGTTCCCAAATGGATTGCAGAGAACAATTTTTTCCCAGACAAGTCCTGTACCAATTTCCGGACCACAGAGGGATGAGATGCTTGATTGGCTCAGAGCAGAACCGAACGGCTAGAATATTGGTCAATAAAAGGCATTGTGATTTTTCCTACAGCCTCAGCATATCACCCGTTGCCGATTTGGGCTCCCCAGATCAATCCCGCTGACGGCAAAAGATCGGTAAAACTAGCTGAGAGACAGGTGAAACGAAGTACCTGCTTGGTGTTGTGGTGAGAGCGTTAACCCCCAGAAAGGGTAATAGCGCGTTCGTTCACCACTGTAGACACCTGCGGTCCGAAGTTTTGCAAATATCTCAGCATTATTGTGGCTGTATCACACGTAATACCATGCCATGAAAAATTGTAATAGGCGGTAAATAAAAGTTGACATTGTGATTTAGTTATGGAAAATCTTTATTTTTATTTCTTTCTAAGTAATAAGATGCAAAGAATTAGAAATTAGAGAAGAGTAGGAGGAAAAGAAAGGAAGAGAATAGAAGAGAACATTAGTCTGCTCAATTTCATTATAGCAAAAGATGAAAAAGCATGTCTCGGATAGCAGTCGTAAACATATGGATTTCTGATAATGGAGAAATGAGCCCATAGGCGATGAGTTTTGCAAACACCTTGCAAAGTGATGCTAAGAAGCGTGCTAACCAAGTGAGAAATATACCACTTTTAGGCGACACCATGGAAATTTCATCCTTCTGATGAAGGTATAACTAAATTTGTCGATGTTCATTGTTTACTAACTACCATTAGGTCGAGTGTTTCCTTTTTCTTCCTCATGAGAAGAATAGCACGAAATTGTAAGCCCAGTGAAAGTTGGTTCACGGATAGTACTATCGCTAGTTTGACACCGAAGCACTTCTTTCTATATCGCATAATTTATTAAAACCAAAAAGAGTGTTATAAGATTTTCAGTGCAAACGGACATATGAGAAATGTGACCATAAAAAGTAATTGCGTAGGTTTAAAATCCGTAAAATATTCTGTTTTCTACATCCACCAAACGGAGATGTAGAATGGTCAATCGCTCTAGGGAGGTCGGTCAACAAATCGCATGCTTCGCTGTCGTCACAGAAGGAAGTCGCTGTTGTCCTAAAAGAAGCCCAGCGGTACAGTCTGAGGACGTCCTAAAATGCAAATTTTGAATCTCGAAGCGAGTTTATGCTTGCCCAGCTGCCAACATGCCAATGAAACGAGAACTTCAGAGATCTTTAAGTTGAATTCGAATGCACCTTCGAACCCAACTACTTCTACGGAGAACGGTTGAAAAAGAACGAAATGGATGGAAGTTCTAGGACCAGAACGAGATGTGAGGATGGTTCATGTAAGTAAGTGTATTATGGTAAATAACCTTCTCAATCTAAGAAACACATAAAGTAATGAACTCGTAGTGGTGAAAGTTGACTGAACCGAAGAAAAATGGTATGTGCTCAAGATTTAAAGGAAGTACGTTTATTTCACCAACACGAGCCACTTAACGCCATTTACATTTGTGTTAACAGAGTAACAACTTAAGAAATCAAAGGAGATATAAGAAGAAGGCATAATTCTTTCAATAAGCATCTTTAAATGTTTAGGTACGTTCTGCAAAAAAGCAAGACCAGCAGCAGTTTTGTTAAGTATAGGTAGAAGAAGAATGTCGTCATTTTATTGACGGTAATCGTAAGTTTCAACATAACCGGCTCTAAAAAATCTTTTATGCATGGCCCTCCGATGCTGAGAAAGCCATAAATTTTGATTGCTTCCTACAGTGCGAATGTAGATGTGGATGCAACGAGGTGATCATTCCTAGGTACTTTGAAATCTCGCTCTCAAATGTCATATGAGTTCTAACGTTAGTTTCATTCATTTTCATCAGCTATATGAGCAAATATTTCGTGCACTATTTACTTGGTACTTGGTACTTGAACGGCATGTCCTCACTAGTTTTGCGGGCCGCAGCATAATCACCATTTTTCGGAGACTTGCTGGTTAAGCCATTGTGGTTCGCT